TGATTCTAATGTGCAGTCAAGGTTGAGAACCACTGTGCTAGAGTCAGGTCTCTATTGGGCCTTTTATTGATAGGTTTGGGGCACGCTGTCACCAGCTGCAGCTTGTTTAAGAGATTTTAGCAAAGTCTGAACCCTGATCCAGGACAGGCCATTCATATGAAAAAGCTGCTGCAAACAGCTTGGGTGGGGCTGCAAATTTGATGGTGTGGGGTCTCAGAAATCCACAGGTTGGAAAAAATAATGTGGGCCACATTAATTGAGACTCAGATATGGCTGCCAGTCAGCCCTGTGACAGAGTTGGTCCCAGCACAGGAACAATGACCCTTTCGAGCACCCTAGACTGGAAGAAAGCCTCCCCTGAGTCCCTACCCTGATGCCAAGCAATAAATCCTGTTCCTCCTATGTGTCTTGGTCCCCCAAAGCCACCTGGTGCTGGAGCTCCAAAGAAGCAGGACCATGTAAGTTTGTATGTGGGCCCTTTAAAAGGAACACCTGGGTCTGTGTCAGTCAGCCAAAATTCCTGCTGTTTTTTACAGCTCAAAGTTATGGGGACTTCTCTTTCCAGCTCTGGAACCTTGGGCTGGGGGGTCTGGTGTGGGTGTTGGGACCCCTTGCTCCTCATGGGCAGCCTCTGCAGTGATGATCTCCCTCCCGATTAAAAAAACAGCACATGTGGGGATTGGACCAGTCCCTTCTGAGCCTCCGCCTCTCCTCTCAGTCTCAATGTGCTTTTTTCTTTAATTCTCTAGTTGTAAAACTTCAATTCAGCCAGCTTTCAGGCAGTTCTGAATGATGGTTATTCTATATCTTAGTTGTAATTTTGATGTGGTTGTAAGAGGATGCAAGTACAAGTGTTTACCTACACCACCATCTTGGTTCTCTTTAGATATGTATTTATTGCCATGTTTTTCTTTTTCTTCTTAAAGAAGACCCTTTAACATTTCATGTAATACTGGTTTGGGGGTGATGAAATCTTTTAGCTTTCTCTTGTTTGGGAAGCTTTTTATCTGACCTTTGATTCTAAATGATAGCTTTGAGGTAACTCCATACTACTTTCCACAGTGGCTGCACCAGTATGAATTCCCACCAACAGTGCAAGAGAATTCTCTTTTGTCCTCATCCTAGCCAGCATCAACACTTGCTGTTTGTGGATTTATTGATGATAGGCATTCTGGCAGGTATGAGGTGAAATCTCATTGTGGTTTTAATTTGCATTTCTCTAATGATTAATGAAGTTGAAGTTTTTTTCATATGTCTATTGACCATCTGTATGTCCTCTTTGGAGAAGTGTCTATTCAGGCCCATTTTTTAATTGGATTTGGGGGGTTTTTTGGGTGTTTAATTTTATGTTATTTATAAATTTTGGATATTAACCCCTTATCACATGTATTATTGGAGGATATGTTCTCCCATTCAGTGGGTTGTCTTTTCATTTTGTTGATAATTTTGTTGATAAAAAGTTGTGCAAAAACTTTTTAGTTTGATGTAGTCCCATTTGCTTATTTTTTCCTTTCATTTTCCTTTCCCAAGGAGATATATCAGCAATAATATTGCTATGAGAAATGTCCTAGATTTTACTGCCTGTTTTCTTCTAGGATTTTTATTGTTTCAAGACTGACAAGTACCATATAATTTACTTATCCATGGAATCTAATGAATAAAATTAACTAACAAACAAAATAGAAACAGACCCATAGATACAGAGAACAGATTGACAGCTGTCAGAGGGGAGGGGGCAGGTGGCTGGGTGAAAAAGGTAAAGGGATTAAGCAAAAAAGCAACCTCAGAGACACAGACAACAGTGTGGTGTAGGGCAGGAGCATAGACTGAGATATGCATATAAAATTTATTTACACAGCCCGACTGGCGTGGCTAAGTGGTTGAGTGTCGACCTATGAACCAGGAAGTCAGGGTTGGATTCCAGGTCAGGGCACATGCCCAGGTTGTGGGCTCGATTCCCAGTGAGGGGCATGCAGGAGACAGCCAACCAAATGATTCTCTTTCATCATTGCTGTTTCTATCTCTCTCTCCCTCTCTTTTCCTCTCTGAAATAAAAAATCTTTTAAAAATATATTTTCACAAATGTAAGTAAATACATTTTAATTCTACCACACACACTAATACCACATATTCCATAATCTACAAAAAAAACCCACATTTACCTAGCTGCCATTATAACTGAAAGCCTAATTTTCTTTTATAATCTACTAAATTTTAAACTTATTTTTGAACTACTGCTACCATTGAGTGCAACTCTAATTCAGGCCAGAAATCTAAAACAAAAACAACAACAAAATCACACAACCAAGCATCAGTCACAATGACCACAGAATATAGACAAATGAGCAAATTTGCCACCAATAATACCAGCAAAGCAACTCTGAGTACCTGCTTAAATAATGGTGGCAATGTTCACACTTTGAAGACTAGCATCAACCATGCCAGTAACCAGTGACCTAAGCAAGCTGCTCTTTCACCCACACTGTGGCAATTACAGAAGGTAAAACACTGACCAATTCATAAATCAGAGCTTTATGTACCACTGAGAGCAAAAGGTAGGAATTCAAAAGAACTTTCTATGCTGCTGTTAGTATAAAAGCTTTTCTAGAAATTGTTTTCTCCACCTTCTGAGAACCTTTCTTATGGGGAATTATCTGTGTCCCAACTCTTCCTCCTGCCTGGATACACTTTGGTTCTGAATATGGAACAGGAATTAGCCAGAGAAGACTCTTGAGGACTGAGAAGAGAAACTATGACTGTAAACTTGAGCCTTCATGGAAAAATACCTAAACATTAAAACAAAAATTAGTTAAGGCAATCTCAAAAACAAACAACACAATTCTTAGGACTAGAAGGGTCATCCAAGGTGACATGGCCTAATTCCCTTATTTAATCATGGTCAATATTGAGTGCAGGCTCCAAATTTTGAAATGCTACCTTTCTTTGAGGTAGTTTTAGATAATTCTCCTATCAGTGGAATGCTTGTGACTCCTGAACAGATTCCAGCCTAGGAGTCTTAGTCTCTGCAGTTTTGGGTTTTGGATTTTCTCATAGTTACTAACCAAGGAATGCTTCTTTCGAGAAGAAAGTTCCAGCGTGGTATCATACAGACTTTCAACAAAGTTTCTAAGGCAGGGGACATTGACTTCATTTTTAACAGCCTGTAACAGAGATGCATGTTAATACTATATTAATTAAATTGTTGGTTATCAAATCCAGTTTGAAGAAGTTCTTAGACATGAAAATTTAACAACTCACAGCAGCAACTGGGACAAGAATTTCAACAAAAAGCCCGGCCAGGGCATGCTTGATGTCTTTGTCTTTGACCTCCAGGAAATAATGTGCACATTCCTGGGAAGCAGAAAAAGAGTGAAGGGCAGGAACACAGACTGAGATATGCATATAAAATGTATATATACAAATTTAAGTAAATACCTCTTAATTCCACCATCCATACTAACATTGCATATTCCATAATGTATAAAAAAAAAACCATGAATTTAGCATTTATATTAAAATTAACAATGGCCCCAATGACATTTTCCAAGGTTGGTTTTCTCACTCCCCTCCTATTTCCATCTCAAATCACTAAGTTGAAAGGACAAAGCACTACAATCAGCAAGCTTACATTCATCAGCTGACTTTCTGGTTGATTCAATCAGTCATTCATTTCCAACAAACTTCTATTGACTACTTACATCACTACTTACTGTGATGCCCTGAGCCCTGGTTTGACCCCAAAACACAGACCCCCAGAGAAGGTAAACATGGAAAGAGAGGAAGAGGAAATTATATCTTCTTGGGGCCCTGACATCCCTGGGTACAGAGCTATTTACTTGCTAGCCTGAATTTTAAGTGTGTTTATTATTCAGACAGTTTCACAAGCAAGTCTGGAAGCCTTTCCTTCCCTACCTTAGACAAGGAAACCTTTGCAATAGTTTCCTTAAGCAAGGATTTCTTTGCCTGTGGACTGCTGTCAATGAAAGGATATTTTGGGTTGCCCAGGGATCTAGTAGGAGTTGGCCTGTCCCGAATTCTGCCAGCCCCTTTCTCCTTCCCGGCCTTGGTAGTAACTTACTGTGGTCTTTATTAGGTATTGTTTTCATGGAAGAGTCAAAGGCTACATGTATATGTTAATATCTATATTAGCTACTACCAGTTATTTTCAGTCAACATTGGGATTATCACCAATAATAGTTACTGAAGTCCCCAGTCTATCAATATCATACTAAAACCTCATCCCAAGATAGTCACTGCCAGCATGGAAAGCCACTGACAACAGAGGGGAGCTTTATGGTTCCCAGCACTGTGACCCTTTTCTTACATTATTTTGCAGGTGTATAAAAATACTCTCTCAAATCATCATTAAAGTACATAGATACATGAATTAGGTGAGAGGGATAAAAATAAGAATAGTTTTATTTTTAATAATAGCAGTTACTGAGAATTCTCAGAACCCCTGTCTAAGGTTAGTGTCATTATCACCACTTTGCAGATAGGTGAGTGAGGCCTGGGATGGGAAGGTGGGGGAAAGATTAAGTCTGACTTGCCCAAGGTCACAGAGCTGGTTAGTGCTGAAGCTTGAATTCAAACCCAAGAAGTTTGATACACGGCCTATATTCTTTTTTAAAAACAGCCTTTTTGAGATATAGTTAACATACCATGCAACTCACCTATTTAAGTGTATTTTCTGTATATTCACTGTTGTAAACTGTTAGGGGCAAAAATAGAATATTGGGACTAGCTATGATTATGGGAAATATTAATCATGCTCTATTAACCATGATTGCTTTGTGTTGGTTAAAGAAAGGACATTCTAACCTGGCTGGGAGTTTTACACCCCTGTGACCTGGGAGTCAACCTTGGACCTGGGAGTCAACCTTGGAATTCGGTTCATTCTCATTCAAGACCTGCTTATTATCTTGGAAAGATTTAATAACCTTGTTGTCCAAACAATGGAATCCCACCCCAACCTCCTACTCCCCCATGTAATCTTTGTCCTCCCCTATATAAGTAGCTGGTTTATGGGGGTCTGCAGAGCAGATTTTTGTGGATGACTTGCTGCTCTCCCACCTCTGCCTGCATTATTGGAATAAATGCTCATATATGATTCAACCCTATCTCTGCTTAATTGGTTCAAGTAGTGACAGGCAGCGTGGACCCATTGATTGTCTGGTTACAAAACTATCACCATAGTCAAACTTAGAAACTTTTCATTATCCTCCAAAAAAACTTTGCCCTCGTTAGCAGTCATCCCCAATTTCCCTACTCACACCCCTTCCTCCAGCCCTATACTTTCTGTCTCTATAGGTTTGCCTATTATGGATATTTCCTATAAATGGAATCATATATGTAGTCTTTTGTGTCCAATTTCTTTCAGTTACCATACTATGTTGACGGTTCATCCAAATTGTAGCACTTATCAGTACTTCATTCCTTTTTATGGCTAAATAATATTGTAGACCACATTTAATTTATTCATTCATCAGTTGATAAACATTTGGGTTGTATCTACTTTTTTGCTGTTATGTATAGTGCTGCAATGAACATTTATTTGCATTCATGTTTTTGTGTGCACATATATTTTCATTTCTCTTGGGTATACACCTAGAAGTGGAATTGCTGGATCATATAGTAATTATAGATTTCACTACGTGAGGAGCTTTCAAAATGTTTTCCGAAGCGACTGCCACCAGCAGTATATGAGGGTCCCAATTTCTTGACATCTTCTTGCTAATACTGTCTTTTTTAAAAATATATTTTTTTATTGATTTCAGAGATGAATAAAAAGGGAGAGAGAGATAGAAACATCAATGATGAAAGAGAGTCATTGATCGGCTGCCTCTTGCACACCACACATTGGGGATTGAGCCGCCTTGTGCTCTGACTAGGAAGCCAACCCTGACCTCTTGGTTCATAGGTCAATGCTCAACCACTGAGCCACATCAGCTGGGCAACACTATCTTTTTTATTCCAGCTGGTTTAATGGATATGAAGTGGTACAGGCTATATTCATAGCCACTATATCTTAGCTCTTTATTAAGATTCTCACTAGGTCAGATTCAGAGCAGCATTAAAAGTATCCCTTCAGATACTAAAGTTTTGTAAACGTAATAGCTGTATATTCTGTGGAATCCTCATTAACAACAATTCCTTTGTTAGCACATAATAATAAACACTGTGTAACTGACATCTAAACCTGTATGGTTTGGTTAATTTTCTAAATTCCTTCTGATAGTGTGAATAAGAAGATCTCTTCATTATTTAAAGTTCTGATGCCTATGAATTAGCATAGCCAACTAATGCTATTAACTCTAAACAGTAAAAAAATCAGCTACATTTTATTTACAGAACAATATGTAGCCAATGGATGAGAGAGAGAGAGAGAGAGAGAGAGAGAGAGAGAAAAGGTTAATTGCCAGAGTCCATTCATTGTCTTCACTAGCTGAGTTTAGACAGAGATCCCCCCAAAAGCTAGTAGCCATTGAAAGTCCTAGTAAAGGTCAGGGCTTGAAAGTCCTAGCAAAGGTCAGGGCTGTGCACCACCCAGTTAATCTAGGAACCACTCAGTTAATTTAGGTAATAATAGTTGAAGCATCCCCACCTTAGTTCCCTTAATTCCTTAGATAGTTATGTAGATCCTTGTTGATTATTGTTAATCAGTTACTCTGCCTACACTCGGAAATCTATTGATAAGCTAATCAGTTACTCTGCCTACACTTGGAAATCTATTGATGAGTTAATCAGATACTTTTGTCTACTCCTGGAAATTGCTGATCTGTGTGTCATTGAAACTTCCTTACCCTAAGGGCTACTCCAGATCAATAAAAGATTGGAGCAGCCTGAGCATGGGTGGAAGTCCTTCGGGACTTGCCCGCCTGGTCCCCCAATATTGCAAAATTATCTCGTGTCTTTTTCTCTCATTTGTTGTGCGGCTCCACTTTCAGATACCGAACCCTACTCCACGCAGAACGTGGAGGGAGTGTTACTCGACAGTTAATAAATAAGACATTCCCCTGGACACCCTGCTCCAAAGTTGATGTGAAGTTTAAAAATAAAATTATATGCCTGCAACTCTATTATTTGGTTACAAAGCCCTTTCTGAATTATTAAGGAAAAAGTAGGACTTTTTCCACCTTGACAAGTAACTGGGTTTTCACATTCCAGGTGAGTTACTTTGAGGAAGGAAGTCACTCAAACTGATAGCCCTTGGTCTTTCTGCTGAAGATATTACCTGCATAAACTGAAGCGAGGCCTCAAAGTCCTCCACTGGGTACATCTTAATCCGAAAGAATTTCATCCCCATTATCAGGCTGATGATGCTTTGAACAACATATGGGCTCTGCTCCTTATGTCGTAATTCTTTGAGCTCTGCCATAAATTTCTTCTTCACAGAATGGAATCTAAGAAGAGAATATGAGTGATTTATCAAATAATGGGTAGGAAAGTGACTGTAATGGAGGCCTCCAGCATCTTGGGGTGACAAGGAACAAGGATGGGGGTCCTTCAAATCAATCAAAGTACAGTGTCTGAGATTTTGAAAGGAGTTGGTATTGGGGATTTGGTAGAGTCCCATCTTCTCCCTTGTTATTCCGTAAATACTCAACATCTCCTTCAGGCTAGAGATAAGATCCAAGGTTACATAGATCCTCTCAAAATACTACAGATCTTAAACCGAGTTCCATTTCTTCAGGCTTAGCAATTTCCAACACACTTGCAGACCCCGAGGACCTGAAGCATCAGTGGTGAGCATATGAGCAATAATAGCATGCCAGGCTTGCTAGTTCTGACAGTGACAGGGAATAATGCCCAGGAAAATGCCCACATCCACTTCCAAAGTTTTAAGCTGTTGTTTTATTTATAGTTTTAAGTTTATGATTATTGAAGAAAATATTTTTAGGTTAAAAGAAAATCTAGTAATGGGAAAATTTAAATTAGCTCTAGAAGATAAGTTCTCTACTACATGGGAAAAGATCCAGTTCTCAAGGAATTTAAAGCATTTGTATTGCTTGAAAATAAAATAATATTAATAATTAATAATATTAATTACAACATTATTATATAGGATTAAAAAAAGAATAGATCTTAGGATGCAAGATGGTAGCAAATCTTCAAAGTACCTGAGGGTGAGGGACTATAAACACAGAAGTTATCCAAACTATTTCTGAGATAGGCAGTTTCACAGTTAGTTAAAAAAAAAGAAAACACAAGGAAATTGTTGTAAGAGTAATGATACTGTATTTGGTTTCCTGAGACCATCAGCCTGAGGTTCTGCATAAGTTAAAAGGGATAATTAAGAATGAGGTGTGATTGGAGAGGGCAATTATGATGATAGAAGTTAAAGGCCATCTAGTAGAGCCTCAGAAGTATGGAACAGCAACTCTTGATACCCCAAAGTAGAAATTTTAGGACAAATTAAGAGGGAGGTAAAATATAGATACTGTTTCACTAAAAGGCAACGACAGGAATGTATGACTGAGAAGTTGGGTATAAGGGGCTTCTGACAGCTGGCAATTTTCTAGTTCTCAGCTTGGGTGGAAGAAGTGACATGGTATTCATTTGGTAACATTTGGTTAAAATTGTTTGTCTTGTTCTAAACAATGTGTGGATTTTTTTTCTTTAGGTTTGCTATATACATATTTCACAATAAAAAAGATTTTTAAGAAGACAATGGAGCAGAAAATATAAATTCCAAACTCCAATGTCATCATTCTTTTCTACTTCTTAGAGTAAAAGAATAAAATTGATGATGATAGCTACAAGTAGCAGTCAGAGCTTACAATATGCCAGGCAAAGTTCAGTGAACTTCACATAGGGTAACTCATTTAACTCTCACAACCACTCTAGTGGGATACTATTATTATGGCCCTTTTACAGAAGAAACACTTGTGGCAGAGGTTTTGTAATAGTCACATAGCTGGCAGAGCCAGACTTTTAAGCAAAATGTCTGGCTGTAGAGGCCATGCTGTTAACCTTTATGCTATAGTATGTCCAGACCAGTGGTTCTCAAAGTGTGGTTCCCAGATCAGCATCACCTGGGAACTTGTGAGAAACACATTCTCTGGCCCACCTCAGACTTCCAGAACAAGAAACTCTGGGGGTGAGTCCAGTCATCCTGTTTAACAAGCCCTATAGGTGAACCTGATGTGCTAAAGTTTCTAAGGTACTGGTATGAATCAGGAATAACAATCCAATACATTTGTAAGATCATGTATATTTGATGTACCTTACATACACTCTTACATTTTTATCTTCACAACAATCCACTGAGTCAGGCAGTGAATGCATTTCCACTTTACAAATGAAGAAACAGATCTGGAAAACTAAAGTGACAAAGACAAGACTCAAACTCAGGTTGTTCTGATGCAAATTCCAGGAATTTCCACTATAACTCAGCTGCATAGTTCATGACAGTCATGAACTATGAAATGTAGCCCCTGCCCTATCTAGAACAGTGTACAGTTTAATTGGGAAGATAAAATAATGTATCCTTGACAATGAACCTTGTGAATAAATAATAATAATAATAATAATAATAATAATAATGATGATGATGTGGTGTGTTAGCATGTGTCTGGAACTTTGCCTCGATCTCTCTGATCCTTCAGGGAGGTTGAATGCTCCAGGCCAAATCACTTTCTCATATCTTCCATTGTCTTTTATGTGAATAATATACTTAAAAGCAGGTAGAGGGCACTGGAGAATGAAGAGACTCTTTCCAGCTGGATAATTAGAGATTTCAGAAGGGATCTGACTATCTAGAAGGGCAAGCAGAGGTCTTTTGGCAGAGATGGGGAGAGGGTAGGGAGAAGAAATGGCATGGAAAGCCATGAAAGTGACTTTCAATCAAGATTATAAAAATTAATAATGAAATATGAGAGTTTAAAAAATTAATTAATCTTACATGTTATATTGTTTTAAAGATCACATGATACCTAAGAAAGTTTTCCATTTCTTTTTCATAATTGAAACAAGGAGAGGTAGGAAAAGGCAGGTTATTTGTATAACCCACTTTTCAATATTCTCATGAATATTGAAAAGTTAGTTAAAAGTCTATTTCTCATTTGAAAATAAATATGGCTATCTTTTACTTAAAAAAATTCCAAAATGACATAAGCATGTTATTTTAACATAAAAATATTCCTAAAATCTATGTGTACTAAAATCTATATTCCCTTAAGATAATTTCAGGGAAAAACAAACTTCTCTTCAATGACCGTGCCTTTAGTATTTAGTATTATCTTTAGTAAAAACATTAGCTAAATGACATTCACATACAAATAACTTCTGCTTTAAAATGAATAGTACATATTTTAAAGTGAGAGTAAGAATATATACATTAAGATTGTATCAGATAAGGAGAAAGTAGTTTTGAAATCTATGAATCTTAGAAGTAATCATCAGTATTTAAATGAATATGTCACATTTTAACAACAAAAAAACTCCCTACCTTAAAATACCTAATTTTAACTTAATTGGCTTTAACAAAGTTAACACTAGGTGAATACTACTTCATAGCGAAAATGTTTTCCCTTAAGGACAATAATTAAGCACATCATCACTATTAAGATTAATAATAGTCATTCTGTTAAGACTAAAGTAATATTAAAAACTAAAGTCATAATGAAGAAAATATTTCATATGCATTATCATTAGGAACTAGATACAAAATCTTAAATTAGAATTGTTGTATTACCCAAGTTTATTTTAAAAGAGATAACCACCTGTACCTGATAAGCAAACACCCCTTTTCCCCAAGAACAAATGAAGCATTAATTCCTAAGGCAGTGATAAAGTGATAGTCCTGGTGAACTTATGAGAAGAAAGTAATGTGATCATTCCTAGTATGATACCAGTTCAAGATTGTACTGTCTATCAGTAAAGGTTAACTGTCCATTGATTGTGATGACCATATATTACTGTGATTAACTACAAGAACCCACTGGCCAAGTGGGTCTCCTGTGACGGCAAAGTATTGGAGCCTTGTCCAAATAGAGACATTTCTTACACTCTACTATTGCAGAATTAGGACAAATATTGACATCATAAAAATATAAAAAGCCACTGTTGGCAAGAAAAATTGGCTTGGTGTATCATACATCTAACCAAATATGGCAATTCCTACAACTTTAGAGTATTGTTTAGTTATGGCATTGGTTCTCAATTCATTCAGAACTAACCCCAAATTGAAGTAGCTAAAAAAGGCCATTCTAGACATAACAAATACTGTTATGCATAATTCACAAAAACTAAGAAAAACAGAAGATGTTATTTTTGGCATATTAAACTTCATATGGACTGATGAACCATAATGATTACAGTGGGCTATATTAAATAAAGTACAATGTAGTCTCCTGCAAAATGGCCCAGATAACTCTACTGTTTAGTTCTAATGCAAGCTTTAGCCAGTTTTTTCTTTCCTCTGTTGCTGTCAGTCTTTGAGCTTCGCAGTTCTCACTGGCATGAGTGTACCTACCTCTCTCCCATCTAATAGACTCATGTTTCATGTGTTAGAAAAAATGGGTAGTTCAGATAAATAGATAAATTGGGTCAGATTAAGTCATGCCATGGAGTTTTTTGGGTCTATTCCTGAGTTCCTGTCTATGTTTTGGCTAGGTAAGATTGCTAAATAAGTACTTCAATTAAAAAAAAATGGGTATTTCCATGATACTAAGTTAGGAAATTCCATCTCTTAAAGATAAAAATCTCTTTCAGAAGGTTGCATTTCTCAAGGATCAGGGCATCACTGTTGCTTTCAGCTGGCTTCTTGCCTTGGGTTCCCATTAGGTCCGTAGCTCAATTTGCCTAACTAGGCATTCAGGATCTTGCCCGATCTGCCTGAGGGTGGGATAAGATGAAGATGGGAAAATAGGGTGTAACATCACTTTTGGAAGAAGTATATTATTGCTAATAATCTAACACCACTTTGTTCTAGCCTGCTAAGTAGTGTTATGGGGCCAGATAAATTTAGCAATGACAATTTTCCTCTGACTTGTTTCCATGACAGAGTACGGGACATTTTTAGCTCAGCTGAATTAAGTAAGCTCTATAGTAAAGGGACATTCTAGAATGGAATTTTCCCACTCATAGATGATATCGTAATCACCCACTTGTGGAATATAGAAAACAAAACATTTTAGTATATGTTCTGCTGAAGCTAGCACAACAAAACTTTTAAAACTGATTAACTTCTTTGGAATATTTGGGCAAAGATAAAAATAATTTGATTAGACCATTTCTTTATTTGATGCAGTCATATGAAACTCATGAACTCTTGGTAGGGTCTGACCCAACTGTCAAGTGAAAAAAAATAACAAAGCAAACAAATTGGAAAAAGACTTGTATTTGCCTTGGGGAAGCTTTTAGTCAGTTTCAGAGACAGGGCACACACAGCAAAACAACCCTAGCTTCCTGTAAGTTCACTCATGTCTCCTTCCTGAGAGTAAGGTGGAGGGATGGGATGAGTTGGCAGAAACACTCCTGTTCTTATGGTAAAGGTTTCTGACTAACGTTTACTTACTTAGCTTGTGCCAGCACTCCAATGACTTCTGCATACAGGTCTGCCACAATGTGCATATTACCAGTGTTAGGACCAAGGTACCTAAATAAAATATAATTAGACACATTAGGGGTCCCTGGTCATCTAAAACTTGATTTAGTTTTAGCACCCAATCTTGTCAAAATTCTAAAGTGAGAAATTACTTTACCCTTCTTTGTATTTAAAGTGCTTGAAAGCCAAGTTAATAACGTCATGTATTAAACTGTCTAATACAGGATGAAGTGGAATCTGGAAAAAAAAAGAGATGGCTCTTAATTTGAAGGGAATATTAAAGATCAAATCAATAAGAGTACTTCCAATAACTGTATATGGACTTTAGCAATCAATAAATATAATTCATATGACCCAGTACTTGAAATTCAAAAATAATTAAAAACTTAAGTAGTTTTCAGATAAGTAAATCATATATAAAAGTAACATTAAATTACTGACCTGTTTTAAAACTTCTATTAATACTAAAGAAAAAATAAAATCAATGGCGAGGTCCCGTCTTTCCATTAAATAATCTCGCTGCTGTTCATCACTGTAAAATTTTAAAAAGTCACATTAATTGGCATTGAAGATATTGTGAGTGATATAATTCATTAAAAACTGAGGACTCATCCCAATGGGCTGCAAGCCATTTTTGATATTACAAGATTGCAGTGGTAAATACAGTATTTGCTGAAGCTAACCCTAATACTCATGTACAGTGAACAAACACTGAATCAGAATATTTGACTGCAAATTTTACATTTTCAACCATGCCAAACTTGAGTAGCTATTTGTGAATCTATAACCCCATCTTGTCAGCTTTTCTAAGGTATGTTTCAACCCAGGAATTCTATCATCTGTAAAGTGGATACAAACACAAGACAGAGTTACCATACTAGAGGTGTACAGTGAAGTATCTTGTGAAAGGAGCTAAATAATGTAAGGACATAACATGATTAGCAATTGGAACAGAACTATAGGGGTGAAGAAAGGATCAGCATTTATTTTTTTTTGCCCTGTCCCATTCTTCTTGACCTTTGTCCCTTGATATTTATGAAAAGAGGAAAGAAGAAGTGAGAGGGTATTGGAAGAGAGAGACTGAAAAACAGATGGAAGAAGAGGTAAAAGAGGCAAAGTGGAGTCATTTGAAGTCATTCAAAAGTTGGGGAGCAAAATTAGCACTGCCAGGAGGATGGAAATGTAAGTCCCTCCCATATCTTACGCTTATTTAACATACTGACTGAGGGCTAATTTCGATTGAACAAAGAAAGAAAAATGAAATGATTGCTGAGTTCCCCGGCAGAGAAGCAAGAATAGTGGCTAAGAGCATTGGCTTTGGTATGAACCAGTCCTGAGTTAAAATTATGCCTCTTCTACTTATCAGTAATGTCCCTATCTATGAATGGAAATAATAATAGCAATTATATAAAGGTTTACTTGAGTACTAAATAAGATAAAGCAGTTTACTCTCTCGAACACACAACTGCTCAATACTTGTATCTATATATATAAAAAGCTAAGCGACCGGCCGGTAGATATGATGCACACTGACCACCAGGGGGCAGATGCTCAACACAGGAGCTGCCCAGCAACAGCAACTTTGCAGAGTGCCCCCTCGCACTCTGGATGCCTTGGGGGATGTCGGACTGCCGGTTTCAGCCCGATCCCTGCAGGCCAGGCTGAGGGACCCCACCTGCCAGAAAGACCCCGCTCACTCTGCAGATACCCTTCGAGCCCTGGCGCCGCCCCAGGTGCAGCAGGCCAGGAAGGGACTGCAGGAGGTTGGCTCCAGGGAGTGTCTGGCTCCTCTTGCCCAGTCCCACCCCACCGGCCACCTTCTAATTAATTTCCTTTCAATGTGCACCAATCCGTGCACCGGGCCTCTAATATTAAATAAAGCAATGAGAAAGAATGGCAGGATTTGGACTTGTCAGGCAAATATTTTCAAAACAAGTCAAGAATATTTTAAATATGAACATTTTTTGTCTGTAGTCCAGAGGAAGTGAGCAGAAAGGAAGATGATATTTAAGCTATAAAAAATAACTTCTGGAGGAGCTCTGTAACCATCAACAAGTCAAATTAAGGCTGGTGGATGACAGGATGGGTTAACAAGGGAAGCTGCAGCCTTGACTTTCAAGGGGAAATGTAGTGACAGGGTCAGAACTCCTTCATTCAGGATCATTTATGAACAGTCCTGCCAGAAGGAGAAGTGAACTGAACAGAACCATCTATCGGAAGCCCTTCAAGACTCACCAGAAGAAGAAGTGCTACTGCCAGTTGGGAAAGAAGAAAACATGTGGAAATAGATTTAAAAAGAGGGCATTCACACATCTAACCTAGAGATTATATCATGGAATATGGGAACAAGAAGCTTAATGACCAAATGGAAGGTGAACTCCTAAAGATGGCCAGCAGCAGTAGAGAGAAAATGTTTGTGTTGGATGGCTCATCAGGGTCTTCAAAAGGGGCCAGAAGACCTTGAGAAAGTAGCAGTTCTTGGTAGAAAAATATTTTTTAAACTCTTAAGTCTGTCTTATTTATTAAGCCCATGATGCTTTCAAATAAAAGTAAGACATATACTTTTCCAATAATGAATTCAACTTTATTGCTTGTTTGAGGTCTAACTTCCAGGAGCCAGAGGCATTTGACAAATTTATTTGGCAGTCAAAATGTTGATATTATACTAATCCTAGAAAACATAACCCAAATACACACTTGTCACATTTGACTGTTTTCAGTTGTTCATGCTTCTCCTGAAAGCTCCTCTTTTCTTTTCTTTTCTTTTTTTTTTTTTAGTAACAGAAACTCACATTATTGGCTACATTATGCTTTGGAGACCCTTACTCTGTTGGCTTTCTCCCAAACACACACACACACTCTCTTGTTTAAACTTTCAAATGATACTGAGTTGAATTTTGCTGTCCTTATTCTGTATTTGATCCCTGCAATTACTTTGATCTCCTGAAAATAATCAGTAACGTGATAAAAAAAACTATTATTTTCAATCTATAAAGCAATCAATTAATGAAAAATCTAGTTTTCGTAATTCTGACAAAGCCAAGGAACAAAACTAAAACTCACTTAAGTCAACTCAACAAAATCATCCCACTTCCTACCTCCAGGAAAGTTTTAATAATGTCTCTTCATAATCTAACAGGTAATGTGAGAAATACAATAAAATGATTCCATTAATTTAATCACCACACAGTCTCAATTTTCAGACACAAGAATTGAATTTCTACCTGTAAAATTTGATACATTAAAAAAGTATTTATGAAGAGAGATTGCTAATTGGTATGGAGTTCCTTTATGGGACAGTGAAAATGTTCTGGAATTAGACAGTGGTGATGTTGCATGACCTCATGGATGTACCAAAAACACAGAATTATACACTTGAAATGGGTAAATTTTACTGTTTGTAAATTATATTTCAATAAAAATTCCCTCTTTAACTAAAAAATTTTCTCCCCCAAACAAAATGATAAATAAATGATTGAATATTGCATAAAGTCACATACATTATAAAATGAAATTACAAGTTTGGATGAATTTTAATTTGGTAAAATTAAAGTCTCCTATTTCAAGAGATGTCTATATTTAAAGAATACTAGGAGTGCCAAGAAAAATGAAAGGGATAAATTACTTATAAGTAGTAATTAATATCTGATTTTCTGAGTGATTTCAGTTTACTGTCTTTAAATACATAAAAACATGCATAACCAATTCATGTGGAGAAATCTAGTTTCTTTTGAAATAATCTTTTTTTAAAAAGATAAATGTATTATATGAAAACATGCTCAAAGTCACTGATCATCTAAGAGATGCAAATCAAAACGATAATGAGGTACCATCTCACACCTGTCAGAATGGCTATCATCAACAAATCAAAAAATGACAAGTGCTGGAGAGCATGCGGAGAAAAAGGAACCCTCTTGCACTGCTGGTGGGAATGCAGACTGGTACAGTCACTGTGGAAAACAGTATGAAGTTTCCTTAAAATTAAAAATGGAATTCCCATTTGACCCAGTAATCCCACTTCTAGGAATGTATTCCAAAAAATCAGAAACACCAATCAGAAAGGATATATGCACCCCTATGTTCATAGCAACACAATTTACAATAGCTAAGATTTGGAAAAGCCTAAGTGCCCATCAGCAGATGAGTGGATTAAAACCCTGTGGTTCATCTACACAATGGAATACTATGCTTCTATGAAAAAGAAGGAAATCTTACCATTTTCAACAGCATGGATGGACATAGAGAGCATTAATAAGTGAAATAAGCCAGTTGGAGAAAGATAAATATCACATGCTTTCACTCATTTGTGGAATATAATGAACAACAAAAACTGATGAACAGAAATAGATCCAGAGACAAAGAAACATCGAACAGACCATCAAACCTCAAGAGTGAAGGCAGGGGAGGGTGGGGGGGTGTAAGAGACCAACCAAAGGATATATATGCATGCATATAAGCATAACCAATGGACCCAGACAGTAGGGGGTGGTAAGGGCATGTGCTTGGGAGTGGCCAGGGAGAGGTCAATGGGGGAAAAAGGAGACATATGTCATACTTTAATCAATAAAGAAAAAAGATAAATGTATTAAAGGAGGTTGATTTAAAACATATGAAATTACATTTATTTACCTAAAATTTGGAGAAACGTATATTCATTGGACAGTATGAGAATTTCAAGTTTTGTGGCTGCCTAAGTGCTCATGCAGCAGCAAGTTCTACTTTCCAAATGCACATAACAAATAAACAAAATTCTTTGCTGGAACAGAAGTTAGAGATGCTATAATCTGACTTCCCCACTTTGCTCATGAAGAGGCTGAGGTACAGAGAGGTGGTTAGTTGCCCAAAGCCACATGGCTAATTAGTGGCAGCTCCACGACTATGGCTAATGTCCAACCCAGCATCTTTTCACAGTACACTGGGCATTCAAGGTTACTGAGAAGAACTAAAACATCCAGGCAGTGTCATGCAGGGCAAGCAGCAGCCCTTCTGCTTTCAGGTGTAGACTGGAAGCGAGAGGGCACAGAAAAGGTATGAGGGTAACCTTGGCCCCTTACACCTTGCCCCACCAATGTTGAAATAAGGCCCTGTATGAATTTTCAACCTATGACAGCTGCCAGTGACAAGTTTTCCAAATGTGCCACCTGACAAATAAGGAGCTCCTGCACCTGCTAGGTATCTGTGCAAAGAGGCAGGAATACCTAGATGCCTCTTAACTCTCATTTTGATTTACATTTCTTAAACAAAATGAAAGAAAGAAGGAAGGAAAGGAGGGAGGGAGGAAGAAAAAAGAAAATAAAAATAAATAAAAAGAAACCATAATTCTCAAAATCCTTATGCAAAAGAAATGTACCTTTTTGATTTATTGCTTGTTCTTGGTCTGTATTCGTGTGATTCATCCTCAATGTCATTTTGCCTTTTATACCAGTCAAACAATGTGCGCAGAATGGAAGGCAGGCAGTACTCAGAAAGAGAGCTCATTGAGCTGATGACCTATAGAGAAAAGCAGGTGATTAAAGCAGCGATTTTCAAACTTTTTCATCTCAGGGCACACATAAACTAATTATTAAAATTCTCCAGCACAACCAAAAATACTTTTTTTGCTGATCTGACAAAAAAAATAGGTATACTTTTGATTCATTCACATCAGATGGCTATTATTGTGTTGGCTATTGTTATTTTTTTATTTGACAATCTAAGGGAAAAGAGGTCAGTGCCCCTGACCAAATAGTCAGGTATTGTATGTTTCAAAAATTCTTATAGCACACTGGTTGCAAATTGCTGGATTAAATGCTTTGGTGGCACTGTCAATTACTGAGAAACTTTTTATTTCACAAATAACTCCAAGACACAGTCACAACAAAGTTTTCTTATTTATCACAGTCCTTCCTTTAATAAGGACAGTGCCATGTCCTTCTTAGGTCCTCAAAAATACTGTTCTATAAATAAACTAGAGGCCCAGTGCACGACATTCGTGCACTGTGGGGGGAGGGGGTCTCGCCTCCGCCTCTGCGCTCACCAGCATCAGCCCAGCTTCTGGCTGACCACCAGGGGGCAGGTCTTGCATTGAGCATCTGCCCCCTGGTGGTCGTTGCACTTCATAGCAACTGGTCATTCCATTTGGTTGATTTGCATATTACCCTCTTATTATATAGGATACTAGAGGCCCGGTGCACAAAAATTTATACACTGGAGGGACGGGGTCCCTCAGCCCAGCCTGCCCCCTATCACATACTGGGAGCCATCAGGGATGTCCTACTGACGGCTTAGGCCCACTCCCTGCTCCCCTTGGGGAGCAGGCCTAAGCCACAGTCTGGCCTCCCTTTGTGGGAGGCGACC